TATATAGAAATATGTGCAAGGTTTATAAACCATCCTAAACTAACACACATGGAATGCATTTGCATTCAGACGCTATTACAATGGATCGCACCGCAATTCAGCCCGCCGTAGTGCTACAGTTCTCGCTGAGCTACCACTACCGCGTGCTCACATGCTCAAAAAACTGCCTAGCATTTTACGGCCTAGAAGTATAAATAACAATTTTTGATCAGAGTTGAAACAAGTCTTACCCGACTAAATTAAGATTAAACATGATAAATCAACACTTTAAAATATTGATTAGCTGGGACGCAAATCCGACTCTGGAGAAAATTGTAAATAACTTCATAGACAAGTCGTACCAGATTTTCATAATTTCGCCTATGTTAACATCAACCAGTGAATGCTTACGCAAGCGTAGGTTTTTTCGAGAAAACCCAATTGGTTAGCAAACTAGACATATTAGGAAATATATAACTCACCTTTTTAGCTTGTATTTTTCTTAATTTTTTTTCCCGAATTTTATTTTTACTGTTAAGCGCATTGAGGCTTTAGCATAATGCACTATATAAGCCAAAATTATTATTATTATTATTATATTGTTACCATATAAGGAAGCCATGGGCGGGCCTTATCTATTAATGAGAACTATAAATGGAGCTGATGTATTTTTGCTAAGCGACGCAAAAACGTGGTTTCGCTTTGAAACGATAGGTAGCGCTGCGCAAAGCAAATGCGGAAGTAAGAAGTAAAAATCGTGATATAACGGACAAATCGCCTATCGGCTTTCCTACTGCTTTCTCAGTCAAATTAAATTGCAGTACAATTCAATGGTTCATGAAACTACCGGATTCAGCCCATTTTACCTTGTCCGTGGATGAGAACCAAGATTGGCCAGTCAGGTGCTTTATGGCCCCAACACATTTCATCCCATTTCTACTACCCAAGAGTATTACCGATTTAGATAAGCGTATTACCAGAGCTAGGGATTTAGTGTCCAATAACATCGCTATCCAAAAACACAAACAACAACAACAATATCAAAACAAAGATTTCGTGCATACCAAGTTGGTGAAAAAGTTTGGATTGATGATCCAGTTAATGTACGGAATAAGTTGGCTCCTTGATGGCAACTAGGGCCCATTTCAAGTTGCTAATGTGAGTGAGGATGGTGTTGTCTACAAACTGCAAGTGGTTAATGGCAGAATATATCCTAGAAAGATACACTACAATCGCCTTAAAGACATACATTGAACCATCTGTTACCAAGCAGCCTGTTGTTAGGACAGACGTACATGTATCGCAGCATTGCTCGACCAACTGTCAACCTTTGAATGCGAAAGCTGTAGCACCCTTCAGTGTTAATACTAGAACAGGCAGAACAGTGAAGACAAAGGCCTTCGAGATTCCTGGAATAACTGCGAATGTATGACTATGTAAATCACTACACACATATTACATTAATTTACAATTAACACACACACAACCAAAAACCACCAGGTGTCAATGAGACATGTCTGGTGCATGCGCAGGGGAGCTTGCGTATCGACGCGTGCGTAATTTTTTTTACGCATGTGGTTATAGGAGCTAGGATTTGTTTTTTCTGGTTTTAGTGTTAGTGGCATGAGTGTCTTTTCTCCTTACTTGATTATGGGAAATTGAATACGTCCATGTGCGCACGTAATGTTTTTAAAGCATGTTGTTTATAGAAGTTAGGATTTGTTTTGGTTCTAGTGTTAGCTGGTATTTGGGTCATTCCTGCTTGCGCGGCTTGCGTGATTGAATATATAATTGTGATAGGCTTGTCAATAATTTCACTGTTTCTGGTAGTTCAAACTCTCATCACTTGTGGTCTTATAAGTTCCATGGATTATTGTATGCAGAAATTTTTTTTTTGTTTTTTTTGGACGAGATGATTGTTTTCTGTTTTATTATTATTAATATTTTGTACCCTACGCAATTCGTATGCTACGTGAATGATTTGAAAGAGGTTGTATTGTACACTCCTCGTATATGCTACACAGGGAGAGATTCTGTCTTTATTTGGTTTGCACCATACGCTATTCGTAGGCTGCATTACTGAATGCTTTTTTTTTTTTTTGAGATATTTTGTGGAAGATTTTTTTTTGCACCATACATTATCTGTTTGCTGTTGCGTTGACTATTTATTTGTGTTTGTTTTTTTGCACCGCTAGTCATATGCTGCGCTATTGAATGATTTCTTTGGAATGGTTTGCACTGTTCGTATGCTGTACTATTGATTATATGGGGATGATTACTGTACGCTTCCGTATGCTACAGTGATGGTAGAATTTTTTTTTTTTTTGGCACTGTACGGTATTCATATGCTACATGTTTTTCTTTTATTTGAGACAATTTATTTGTTTTTTTTTTGTGTCATACGCCATTTGTAGTACAGTACAGTACATGGATACTGAGCCGTTACTTCCTTCACCGTATGCCATTCATTTGCTGGAGTTATGTCAACAGTCCCAGAGTCATCTAGAATCTCATCGATGGAATCTAACCAATACTCAATCTCATCAGTGGAATCTACTTGGAGTCATCAATTAATCAAGGGATGTGAACTTCATCTATCAATCTTCAGATGTTCAACCAATGGAACCATCATTTTCTGATGTGCTTCAACCACGAACTGATCACATCTGCCCGATGATATTCTTAAAATTTAGCGTTATTGGCCTATTATATGAACTCTGTTTTAAATCATATACTGAATTGATAATAACTGACACATGAACAACCAGCTACAAGCAAAGGAATTTTAATTTCATGAACACTTATACTGTAACCGTAACTCTATAATGAAATTGCTTATAATAATATCAGTGCAGAATGTTATTACAGTATTTTTCACGCGAAAATTAAACCCTGTATTAAAAAGTATGGCAACGCCCCTTGTGTTGCTTTTAGGAACTGAAGTAAAATTCAAGGCCCCATTCGTTCCTGATAAAGTGCTCTTTTTCTTCGGTAAAGTGGGTATCTTGTAGGCAATATATTGCGTATTTCTTTCCCCTTATATAATTAAAAACATCCCTTCGTTTGTTAAAGTCGGAAAGCCCTCTACAGTTCACAGATGCTACTGTGATTCTCACTATTTTTGGGTTGATGATTAATCAATGTGTTATGTATTGTCCGAACAATACTAATTTATACATACAGCTAACGATTTAGGGATTCTATGTAAATCACATATCCGCCTATATTTAAATTTGTAGATAAAATAGGTAGTTACAGTACAAGAGCAGCTGGAACCAACCAGGGTGTCATCGCAAATTTACCTTCGTGTCTTAATCTTATCTTCTCCTTATTTGCAGACTTCTCTCTCTCCTGACTTTTGTGGACACATCAATTGACACTGTGATAAACTTTCCTTTGTATTTTTTCTGTTTCAATATCTTCGGGGCATTTTTTTAAAATTCTTTCTCTATCCACATAACTCAAAAATTTAATAACTGGCTTAGGGTTTGACCCTTCCCATCCTATGGGCACGCTCTATGTCAACACTCATGTTGAAGCCATTTTTTATATTAAAAGTCTTTCATGAAAGTTCTACAGCTTTCCCCTTCCGCATTCTCTGGGATCCCCCAGACTAATTTGTTCCTCCTGGACCTATTTTCAAGATTGACGACTGCAATCTTTCTGTGACTTCATTTAATGCATTTTTTCAATTCCTCCTTATTTTCACCAACAGATTTCTCTAGGCTTACAAACTCTTCATATTTTACACGTTGTAAAA